AAATTCATCGCTACTCTGCGCTGCATTTGTTGCGGCCCGGAACATAGCATTAATTTAAATATTCATTAACAACGAAAATGTAAGACAATTCTTGAGCAAGAGTCGTCGCAAATAGCACAGGCGAGGCGCTCTACACAAAATTCCAAATCAACGTCTTTCATTGGCAGCCTCGCAAGAAAAGTTATGGCATTGAACAACATTAATTTGTAATACTTGCATAGGGTGGGCTATAGATATGCGTCTGTTGACTACCTGAATACTGGACAACTCTGAAATTGAAATCTAGAAACGATTTTAAACCTACCGTCCGTTGAAAAGATTTAATCAAACGGCCACTCTAGTCAAGAAAAATACTAGAATCGCCGACAGGCCTATCCAGGCCTATTCTTCAATGCCGAAGATACTATACATTATACTACACTATACACTATAGGTACTATACTATACTACTATAACTCATGAATACGTACCGGAAAGCTAGTGTCCGGCAAGATGCGGAATTTATTGTGGGCACACGACTCCTCGATATGAGCAGCACCGAACACCAGACGGTAGGGGTCTTTGTGACGACACTTGTGAGTTGTGTTGCTGCACAAACACAGGCTTTAGTTGCTAATTTTGTTGAGTTTACGTCATCAAGTATAATATTGAAGATCATCATATTGAATATGGAAGATATTGAGTTTAGATCAAGTCGGTACCTATAATATTGAAATAAACTGAACATTTTAAATTAAGGTACAACACAAACTTCCATTCAAGGTTTATTAAGATATCACTTCGGTTTTCCCCATGACGATGAATCAGATAAGAAAACGATGACAAATGTAAAAAAATTCATTCACTTCAGTTGATTCTGTAATGATGAAAGCCTGAATGATGTTGAAATTAGGTGCAAGCATTAACTTACATACTAGCAAACCATAAAACACTTACAATTTACAAACTAGCAAACCAATCACATTAGAGTGACTCATCCTAATATAACTTGCAAATCATTAAAAACTTTGANTGTTGGCAGCAACAAGTGCAGATGTTGCAGCAACAAGTACAGATGTTGCAGCAACAAGTACAGATGTTGCAGCAACAAGTGATGAGTTCATACCTCGTCCAGAAGATGAGGGAAGATGTGGACACAGGCGATGATGTGGCCCACATCGTTGGAGCGCACCGTGACGCTACGCCATACGCCTGGAGCCTCGTGGAAGTCTATGAAGCTGGGGTGTTTGCTCAGTCTTATGTGGTCCTCGAATAACTGCACGACAGAGATAACTTATCACAAGGTGCCATTGTGATACTATAAATAAATATCGAAAACAGGCGGCGATTTCCAAGCTCTAGAGCTTCCTCTAAAACCGTAAAAACGTTTGTACCAAATTGTCCGTCTTACACTGGAAAAACCGTGACCAAATCAACATCATTCATTCTTTTTTTTTTTGCTGCATGAAATTTAAATAAACATTTTAATCCCCAACACGAAAATAATTAATATTTCAACTAGGTGAAATTTTAGGTCATCATCTGGCCCACATATTTACATATTAAAAAATATGGCATACCTGACCAAAAAGTTTGACATACCTACCTGACAAAAAAGTTTGTGCTCCTTCCTGACGCTGAGCAGACTAGAGGGTGCCACGCATGCAGTGCCTGCTGTCTTAGGGTCGCCCGTCAACAACCCTACAGTCTTGGGGTTACCGTCAACCCCGCGCCATACAGTGAACGTATCCTCGTTCCTGTACCCCTGCTCTGCAGGCTGGAAAACGTATGGTCGTTAGACGTGAATTTACATTAAATAAAGAGATTACATTCATTGACAAATAACTAAAAAATTGCTTTATTGACTTCAATTAATTTACATTAAATTTAATTTACATTAAATAAAGAGGTTACATTCAGTGACAAATAATTAAAAAAATTACTTTAATGACTTTAATTAATTTACATTAAATTTAATTTACATTAAATAAAGAGTTTACATTCATTGACAAATAACTAAAAAAATTACTTTAATGACTTTGATGCATAATTTAACGTTATAATCGTATCTAGCGTAGGTACAATTGTATCCATGCAGTCCGACAAGAGTTAAATAAAACCTCAATAATATGTAATATAAAATAACATATAATGATCTTAATAATATACATAACTGACAGCGGCCACAATGGGGTGTAGCGGGCAGGGCAGTAGCGGCAGTTGCTCAGGCAAGGGCAGGCCGTAGACGTTAAATATTCTATCCTTGAGTTTCTTCAGTACGAGACTAGCGCTGGTCTCCTTGTGCTGTAGTTGTTCAGCGTAGGGCTTGCGCCACAGCGGCGTGTACACGTCTGCTACCACCTCTACGCTGAGCAGACTAGAGGGTGCCACGCATGCAGTGCCTGCTGTCTTAGGGTCGCCCGTCAACAACCCTACAGTCTTGGGGTTACCGTCAACCCCTCGCCATACGGTGAACGTATCCTCGTTCCTGTACCCTTGCTCTGCAGGCTGGAAAACGCACGGTCTTTTTTTATGAGGTTACACTCATTGACAAATAATTATATAATGACTTTGATGCATAATTTTACAACGTTATAATCGTAACGAGCGTAGGTCCAATTGTATCCATGCAGTCCGACAAGAGTTAAATAAAACCTCAATAATATGAAATATAACATGATAATATATAATGATCTTAATAATATACATAACTGACAGCGGCCACAATGGGGTGTAGAGGACAGGGCAGTAGAGGCAGTTGCTCAGGCAAGGGCAGGCCGTAGACGTTAAATATTCTATCCTTGAGTTTCTTCAGTACGAGACTAGCGCTGGTCTCCTTGTGCTGTAGTTGTTCAGCGTAGGGCTTGCGCCACAGCGGCGTGTACACGTCTGCTACCACCTCGTGCTGGTTACCTTCTGTAGTCTGAAATGTCATTGTGGTATTAATATCCAATATAAAAAACTTTAATAAATGTTTACTGTAGTCTAAAATGTCATTGTGGCATTCATATCCAAGTTAAAAAACTTCAATAAATGCTTACTGTACTTTGAAATATTGTGTTATTAATATTCACGTTAAAAACTTCAATAAATGCTTGCTGTAGTCTGAAATGTCATTGTGGTATTGATATTCACGTTAAAACACTTCAAAAAATGCTTACTGTAGCTCGAAATGTCATTCTGGTATTAATATTCATGTTAAAAAACTTTAATAAATGTTTACTGTAGTCTGAAATGTCATTCTGGTATTAATATTCACGTTAAAAACTTTAATAAATGTTTACTGTAGTCTGAAATGTCATTGTGGTATTAATATTCAAGATATTAAACTTTAATAAATGTTTACTGAATGCTGAAATGTTATTGTGGTATTAATATTCACGTTAAAAAACTTTAATAAATGTTTACTGTAGTGTGAAATGTGATTGTAGTATTGATATTCATGTTAAAAAACTTCAATAAATGCTTACTGTTGTCTGAAATGTTATTCTGGTATTATTATGCAAGTTAAAAAACTTTAATAAATGTTTACTGTAGTCTAAAATGTCATTGTGGTATTGATATTCACGTTAAAATACTTAAAAAAAATGCTTACTGTAGCTCGAAATGTCATTGTGGTATTAACATTCACGTTGAAAAACTTCAATAAATGCTTACTGTAGTTTGAAATGTCATTGTGGCATTACTATTCAGGGTATATAAAAACTTTAATAACAATAAAATTTAGATTAAATTGCAGCGTATGCTAATGAACATCGTCTACAGTCCATATTTAAAAACGTTGGTTTGTCAAATCATTTGCTAAAAGTATTAGTATATTAGTACCAATACCTACCATTCAGCGTGTAAGATAGTAATTAAGTTACTAATACCACACTATAGTAATATTTTATTAGTACCTTAGAGGAGCATTTGGCGACGCAATTCTTTCCGACAACACGACTACACAACACACATGAATTAAAATCTGGCCTTTACGAATACTATTCTTGATAGTATTCGTAAAGGCCTTAATCACGGCCTTTATTCGTAAAGGCCTTAATCAGGGCCTTTATTCGTAAAGGCCTTAATCATTCGTAATCTGGCTTTAATCACGGAAGGCGTCAAGATGTTGTACAACGAAGAGTAAACCCGCTACTTTTTACCCACTGCCTCCTGAGCAACGCCGGGTTAACTTGCTAGTGCGTGACGCTAGTCGGACAAATACTAGGCAAACGATGGCACAACGCCATTCATATCCTAACTTCTTACAATCTTAAATAATTTGAATAGATATTATATAATTTATATTTTGAATCGTTATAATCGTTATATAGATATTATATAATTTGTATTTCAATTCGTTACATAAAGCATGCGCAACATCAAGACACATGTTTGCAACCAACTCGTGCTAGTGGTTTCCTTAAATCTGAAGCTTTATTCATAAATATGATAATAATTATTAATAAATAGTCCATACAATATGTATAAAATTCTTATGTCATGTAAGAATTCTAAATGGAAGACCGTTATATTTTAAGTATGAATCATTACTTGTTTAATTTGAGCATCTACACTCTACAGTTCCACACATTTCTTTTAATTCTGTGGCGGCAGTCTTCCTTTTTAGCGCATTTTCTCATTTATGGGAAAAAACGCTATTGTGCTCGTCATGTCCGTCCGTCCGTCCGTGACTTCACGGACGGACGGACGAGAAAATGCGCTCTGTGTCACTCACTGCAGTACTGAGTACTGATCTAATTTATTATTCATGTCTTCGTATCCAAATTTTAAGATTGAAACAACTTCAGCCTCTGGTAACGGTTCAGATACAGCCCACCAGTCGATTCCTTACGACTGCCAACGACGTCACATCTTCACTTTTGATCGCCCGCTTCATCTTTATTATGGCGCGAGACTTCCAGCGTGCGTCTCGTCTAAGGTGGCAGCCGTGAGGTGTGGTAGGATCTTGAGACTTCAGCAACAGCTCGTCTCCTCATGGAGAACGGGTCTCTGTGAGAGCTGAGGAGAGGACCGGATGCTGCAGGTTGGTTGTCCGTCACTAAAGCTCAGGGTGTTGTGGCAATTTGTAGCTCCGGCCGGTTTCCATTACGGATAACTGTCTTCACTTCATTACCCTCAAGCCAAATAATAATACTATCCTTGTCTTTCAACTGTATGTATATTCATCAGTTAACCGATTTATTATAGTCTCTTATATTACGATGACTAGGTAAACATTTTTATGCGTACAGCTGCTGGGTCCGTAAATTTAAGGTGGCGTTTCATTCAAATCAGTTGGCATTTTTTCGAAAGGATGGGCGGTAAAGAACTTAGCGCGTCAGTTTCCCTGTGCTACCTGCATGGCTTGCGATTCTAGATGCGGATTAAGAGGACTTCCACCGGGCAGCAGCTCGGGCCAATTCACTTTTTTTTCAAGATTTATTGTCTTCACCTAACACAATTCCGATTTAATAAATTCAGTATTTTTTGAAACGTTTTCTTTACATTATTACCTAGGGGAAATTTAATCTTTCCCTCCCCTGAAAGGGAGGTCACGATAAAGTTTTGTACACAGTAAACTAATATTCATCTTGTCACTTAAACCTACAAGCAGGAAGATTCGGAGTCATAAAATTACCTGGATGGCTTTTCTGACCACTCTGTTGTCAGGGGGAGAAGGCGGCTGAATTTCAACGACGTTTTCCCTGCGTGTCATGACAGGAGGCATAGAAGCGGCGAGTTCTTGCAGCTTGGCTTCCGTGAGACCAAACACGGCCTTGGGTATAGTCTGGCCATGGCTGGGTAGTGAGGGAGGTAGGCGGGGGGATAGATGAGTAATATGTGAGGGGGAAGAGGGGAGTTGTGAGGGGGAAGAGGTGATTTGTGAGGGAGAAGGGGTGATTTGTGAGGGGGAAGAGGTGAGTTGTGAGGAAGAAGAGGTAATTTGTGAAAGGGAAGTTTGCTGGGGATGTTGTGCGGGAGACGGAGAAGGGGGCGGAGTTAGTGGATCGCTGGAGTCCGACGGTATACTCGCGTAGGAGTCCACGGGACGTATCGCTCTGTAAAAAAATGTTAACGATGACATATGCAAGTGTTAAACGGATTATATTTAGATTAAAATTTAACCCACCAAGAAATTTTCCAGTTAGGCAGATATTGATCTATTTTCATGCTGTTTACCTCATATTTTCATACAGAGCCCTATTAAAATGCCCACGTTAGAGATGTAATTCAATTTAAAAACTTACTTACCGTTTCCTGACGGTTCTGACAGCCGTGAAAGCGACGCTCCTGACGCTAGAGCAAAGCTGACACACGCCTGCTGCTAGAAGCGTCATCTCTTGACACTAATTAATTATTAAACGACGAAGACAGTTGTGATAGATCAAGAATTACGTAGTACTCTAAAACAGACTTCAAACAATTCCGTAAGTTGGAAAGAACGTCTTGCAAACTGACAATAAATCAGAGGATTGTATGAGCTGACAAACAATCCTACATATGAACCTAATTACTACTATCTGAAGTATGCTATTGGCGGCATTAATCAAAGCCATTGTTCTAGAGTACAGATATCCAAGTGCCTCAATGCGAAAGCTATACCTAATTAAATGATTTTTATGTTAATATCAAACCCAGTTCAGTTAGCAGCAATATAATGAGATTGTTTGGACAGGTCCAGTCAAAGTAATCGAAATTACTCAGTGGCGAGAGCCATACTAATAAGGGCGTAATTTATCATGTCATGGTAACGAACTTACTGTAATTGTAGGTACTTAGTTTACATATTATGGTATTTAAGTACTGTGTTCACTTGGTGTAATGATACATCTAAAATTGTGAAAGCTATGTAATTATTGCTCAAACAAACCTTAACGATATCATGTGCCGAGATTGCTACGATAAGCAAACAATTTATATTATAATTTTTTAGTTGCAACAGCCGTACAGCTGAACTAAGGGAATACAGTTTAGGAAGGAAGCTCGGGACCCAGAGGGCGCAAAACCTCTCAGCGCTGCCTGCAGTCGTCAATGGAATAAAGTGTCTCTGAACGAATAAATTTGCCGATACAAATAAATAAACTAC